GTGGAAGGCCAGGGGAAGCTACCACATTATTATTCAAAGAAACTCACTATGGAAGACAAAAAAGATTTGTCTGTGAGACCCTTAGGGTGTCCTGGTGGCTTGTAAATAGCATCTTGTCTCGGACATTGAAATATTTAGGCCATATTAAGCGCCACGCTGGATTGAAAAGATAAACAACAGAAGGCGTGGTACCGGGTAAGATGAGAAAATAAGCACATGAGATAAGTGGCAGCTTGGGTAAGATAGTGCATGGAAATCTGGCGAGGGACCGATTACTTTCAGGTAGGCTGTGATGGGAGCGACGTTCTGCAAAGAGGGATGCTTCGAGCAGAGTGGCAAACTTTACTGGAAAGGTCACGGGTAGTCAGCACCATGGATCTTTTCTCAAGGCTATGCTGGCGTGGTGGGGAATGAACAGGCAGACAGATTAGCTGGATCTGCACCACTGGGTGGTGAATTGATACATGACTAGGCAGATGAGGTCAAGGTCCTTTGGAAACAAGCAACGAAGTGAGAAGGGAAAAAAAATTATCATGGCCTTGAGAGAATGGGGCACCTGGGTGTAACCAGAGGGTCTGGCCGGTTCACTACACTCAGGGGAAAGGTAAGACGGACATTTAAGCATACTGAGACAAATGACCTGATAGGTAAAGATGAATCTGGATGGCAGAAAAGTAGGACAAATCCAGTTTCCACCTTCCACCTCTAGAGAAGCTATACTTGTGACAGTTGTTAAGGCTACTTCAGCCCACTGGAGCATGAAGTCCGGTGTCATATGATCCCTACAAATCTTCATCCACCCTGGACTACAGATGACTCTGTAACCGCTTTATCCTGTCCCAAAATAAACATGCTTTTACGCTTCGTAATGCTTGGGTGCCGGGTACCACCCAGCTGCGGACGATTTGTCTTGCGTTGGTTTCGACAGTAGTACCTAGAGCTGACCGTTCAGAGAGCAGTGGCAAACTACTGAACGTAAAGTTTTCCTAGAAAAACCACAACAACTAGAAAATGAGACTGTTCTGTGAGTAAAGGTACACCAACTAATTTATCCCCAAGGGTGTCCTTGTTCTCATCGCTAAGAAATAGCATCAAACTGTAAATCTGGAGGACGTATTTGAAATATTTGGATGGGTAGGTTGCACCATAAATGTTAAGCCTATCTCGCTGGATTCCAATTGAAAAGATGCACTTTTTTTTTTTTTTCAACAACAGAAGGCGTGAAAAAAAACAAACAATCTTAATTCGGGGTAATCATGTGATGAGAAGAGTAAATCAAGCACAGAGAGAGGATAAGCAAAAGATACTGGACAGCATTGGGTCAAGTTGTATAAAATTGATGCATGCGGCAGAAATCTGCCGACGCCATAGGCACGAACGATGAACTTTCAGGTAGGCTGTGATGGGAGCGACGTTCTGCAAAGAGGGATGGTTCCGACACCAGACCGCACACCCTGCTGGGTTCTAGGTCCGGGGAGGGGAAGGAGACCTCTGTAATACAGTACTCATGAAGATGGTTCCGTCACCAGACCACACACCCTGCTGGGTTCTAGGCCCGGGGAGGGGAAGGAGACCCTCTGTAATACAGTACTCATGAAGATGACAACCGAGGTCGGGTGTGGAGAAAGGTTTCTAAGCCAACTGAACTTCCTCAGATACAAACCGTTTTCGAACCTTGAACTTCCCCTGTGCATTTCGGGGCCCATTATCCGCCCAAAAATGAATAGCTCCACCTCCACACCCCCCTCTACAACAAGCATGTTGTAAAAGTAGACTACATAGTGGACTGAAAGTGGGAATGAACTGAGTGAGAGGTAAGGAATCAACGGCCTGAGGATAGAGCTTACACTCCGCGTGTGTCAAACAATCAGATATCAAAGACTTCTATTTACTAACAATATGACACACGTCAAGTTATGTATATGTTACGGGACAAAATCGTATGTCCAATCCTCAGATGCCCGAGTATGTCTTCTAGCATAACAAAAATGACATGTTACAAGTGTGAGATGTCAAAGATGGACACGTTACCTGTTTCTGTCAGGGTGTCTTAGTGCTGTGTCGAATCTTATGGATCTGACCAAATGATTTCTGTACCTCTCCAGGGCCTTGAACTCATCCCTGAAGGTCACAGTACGACCTGCAAAATCAGCATGATTTATTACTGCTGACCTTTCTAAGAATAGCAGGTGAGAAGGACGTACAGAACAAGGTAGACAAAGAAGACGATGTAAGGGTAACATCGAAGAAACAGCGCAAGCACAAACAGCACTCATATTGTTGAGTCGGTTACAAAAACACGCAGAAAATTATATCCCCCTCGATACTGGAAGCAGTTACAGAAGAAGTGAAGAACAGTTACTGTTGACCTTCCTCTGCTTCTGCTCCTCCTCCTCCACCACTGCATCTCCTCCTCCTACTCTTCTTCTTCTTCTTCTTCTTTTTCTTCTTCTTCTTCTTCTTCTTCTTCTTCTTCTTCTTCTTCTTCTTCTTCTTATTATTATTATTATTATTATTATTATTATTATTATTATTATTATTATTATTATTATTCGATAATGCATTGGTGGTAAAAATACTGCATTGAATCGTGCTCTTTTAGTATCAGTTTTACATGTTTATTCTGGAAAAATGCTGAGATCTGTCCAATGACTTTACTTGACTACATGTGTGATCTATCTCCACTTCGATTCTTTCATTGGATGATATTACTGTTGACGTTTTTGGAGGCGAAGTCATAACTCAGGGTAGCTGCAGACACAGACCACCCTTTGCACAAAGCTCTGGGTGCAGTTAAGGGTCAGAGGCTGATGAAAGGAAAGTCATGGATGATGAAGTTATGATGGCTCATGCAGAAGACACGATCAGACAGGTTTGCATCCCTGAGAACATAAGGCAAGGAGAGGAGTGGGTCAAAGTGCCACCTGAACAGTCACAATGTGTAGGGTCATAATCACACTGAGCCGGAAATACAGAGTCTGACCAGCAGGTGCCACGGAGGTGAAAATTCAGCAATTAATTCAAGATAATGCTAGCTCAGAGGATTTGATTATTCACACAGACGGTTCAGTGTCAAGAGGCAAAAAAAGTGCGTGGGGTTTCAAAGCAAAAGTTAATGGACCACGTTTGGTGCAGACGATACCACAACATCCAGCTTAAGAATGGAGGTGGAGGCGGTCACTGAAGCTTTCCGCTGCTTAGAGAACACGACACACTCACACATGTCGCGATTGTAACTGACTAAGAAGGATGATCAGGACAAGCATGCTGCGTGCAGAGTGGCACGCTTCACTACAGACGATATCGGTGAGGAGAACTTTTTTCACCAGCGTATGCCGGTGTGTTGGGAAATGAACAGGGGGATAGACTAGCTGGCTCTGCACAACTTGATGGAATACTGATGCATGACAAGGCAGACGTGGTTAGTGCCTTGTGGGAGAGTGTGCACAGTTCGGCGGAGCAGACGGATCACCACAATCTGGTGGGATTGATGCAGCGAGGAGTGACGAGAGGTTCTGGCAGATGCTCGAGGCTCAGAGAAAAGGCAAGACGTACATTTAATCAGAATACTACTAGCACCATTAGTATTGGAACTCTTCGTTGGCTGCTGAACATGGGGACGGAGCGCTTATGGGAATGCCCTGAGTGCTGTGATGTTGGTTCTTGAATCAACGTAACTCAACTGCTGACCTTTTTCAGAATCCGGAGCAGCTTTGGCTCACAGGCACCATGCATGCCTTTCGGACTACTTTGGAAGTCATAATTCCTAGCAGAAGAATCGTTCCGCGGAGCACCCCCTTCACGTTTATCTAAATGTGTATCGACGTCTTTATGTCCATCCTGTAGTATTCCTGCACTTGAAGATGATTCAAGTACTGTTATTGTAGTGGACATTGTGTCAGCTTTTTCAGTTCTTGCGTTTTCTAGATCTCTTTCTTTGAGCCTCTGATTCGCACGTGTCCTGTCAAAAGCAGGCAGACCCACCTTGTGTCTCTTTATTTCTAACGGAACTTTCTTGGTTTTCTTTGTCGTGTTCATTGCAGTATTTTCTGACCACTTAGACATATCTTTGGCTGCGTCTTCACCTGTTCCATTGCCAGGCAAGAACATAAATTTAACCGACTTTTGTCCGCTTATTTCTTCAGTTTTAACCAAACTGCCAGATCCTGTCCTGTGATTTCCTGATCTAGAAAAATCCTGGTTCACCGAAGGATGCTGTCCCGCTGGTGACTCAGTTAGTCTTCCATCTTGGACCTCCACCTGGTCATACTGGTTTCCCGTGAGAGTCATGTTAGGTCTGAGATCAGTTACGGCCCTTGTCTGCGACCTATTCCCGTCCTTGTTGTTGCATACCCTGTTTGATTTCGCTGAAATTGTGCCGCGATCATCTTCCATAGTTCCCAGATTGTCTTGGGGCACAATTTGTCGGCTGTCTCCTGAAAAACGTGCTCTGCTTTCTGTCACGGGCTCGAATGTTCTCACTTGATGTAACAGCGCACTATTTTTCTCCGAGTCTCGGTTCATCTTTGTATTTGCTTCTTCCTCAAAGCTGCTTTCATTCTCATTCTCATCATTCTCATTGTCATCATTCTCATCACTGCTGTAGAGTAAACTAATATCATCGATACTGTCCTTCTCTGAATCCTGAATGTTTTCAGTGCCTACAGCAGCTTGCGTATTTCTGCTGGTTGCATCCTGATCTTCTTTGATGTTGTCATTTTCCTCTTCTTTATCGCTGACTTTTTTCTCAGAGACGTCCCCATCTAACACAATATCTTCAATATCGTCATCATCATCATTTATACTGCAGTATGTCCTTATGTTCTCGATGAGGTTCATACTTTTATTTTTGCTGCTGTTGTTATTAACATCCCCACACCAAGAAAGAGTTTCTGCCTCAGACGTCCATTCAGCCCTCGCAACTGATCTCGTGTTTGTGTTGCCGTAAATACAAGAGACACTACATTTTTGTGAATCGCAACCATGTCTGTCTATTCCACAGTTAGCACAGACCCAAAATGTATGGACTACTTTCTCTGCAAAATATGAACGACCCAGGGGCATGAATACACGCCTGCATTGGTTGGAGACACAGTCTCTCAAGAAAGTATTAAATACAGATATATCTTCCTCAAAAACTGCATCGTGTGGCTGTATTAATATTTTGTTATTAATTTGAAGACTGGTTATTCTTAGAATCTCCATATTTCCATGCAGTTCTTCTGGAAAGTAGGACATACCTACAAATTTTAGTTCATCCATTCTCCAGGCTAACAAATCGGGTGTGTGAAAAATGTTTGTACCACTCCAATCTTCTCTGGAACATGATGATAGTCCACTGGCATTATTTACCCGTTGACGTGGTGCACATACGACTTCAGACTCCGGCGAAATAGCCTTGACTGGTTTATCAACGATTTCCGTACTCATCGCCTGGGACAAGCTGTTATACTCCAGTGAATCTGCAAAATAGCTGCCATGGCTTGGGTCAGGTAGGTTCATGTTCTGGCTATAGCTAGCATGGCTTGGGTCAGACAGGTTCATGTTCTGGCTATAGCTGCCATGGATTGGGTCAAACAGGTTCATATTCTGGCTATAGCTAGCATGGCTTGGGTCAGACAGGCTCATGTTCTGGCTATAGCTAGCATGGCTTGGGTCAGGTAGGTTCATGTTCTGGCTATAGCTAGCATGGCTTGGGTCAGACAGGTTCATGTTGACACTGGGATCTTGGGGTATTTCCGCAGCACATTCAAGACACTGTTCAAGAACTATACTGCTACAGATGTCACATGTCATGTTGCTGTCGAATGACAGGATGCTGCAGGAATAGCTACGACAGCAGTGGTTTGTGCTGTCCCTGAGTTCAATGAAAGATTGGCTGATGTCGGTAAATGCTGCTCTGTTAAACGATAGGTCAGAATCACTGCTGCTGGTTGGGCCCATGGTGCTCCGGGTGCTGTTTGAGGTGGTTGGTCTCACGGCACTGTTGTTGCCGTCGTTGTTGTGTGGATCAATGGTGATGTTGTTGTTGCGGGAGCTGTTTCTGCTGGAGTTTGGTGGATACATTTTATTGTTGTTGTACATGACGTTGTCGCGCAGGGAGTTGATGTATCTGAGGGTAGATATGGATCAGGGATTAGTTGAGAGTAGGTGTGGCTTGTGAATTAGTTGTGGATGTGGTTTAAGGATTACATCTGGATAGATTTCATTTCATTTAGGAGTTAGCTGTTAATAGATTGTTTTTTTTTTTAAAGTGTTAGTTGTTAAAAGATGTGGTTTGGGAATTAGTTGTGCAATAGTGTGGTTTAGAAGTTAGTTGTTGAAATATGTCATTTAGGAGTTAGTTGTTGATGGATGTGATTTAGGAATAAATCTTGGAATGATGTGGTTTAAGAGATAGTTTTTGACAGATGTGGTTCAGAAATTATTTGTTGAAAGATGTGTGTAGATGTGGTTTTGAGGTTAGATGAGGGTAGATGTATGTAGATGTGGTTTAGAAGTTAGATGAGGGTAGATGTTTGTAGATGTGGTTTAGAAGTTAGATGAGGGTAGATGTGTGTAGATGTGGTTTAGAAGTTAGATGAGGGTAGATGTGTGTAGATGTGGTTTAGAAGTTAGATGAGGGTAGATGTGTGTAGATGTGGTTTATAAGTTAGACGAGGGTAGATGTGTGTAGAAGTGGTTTTGAGGTTAGATGGTGACAGAAGTAAAATACACATGAGCCACAACCCACCTTGGTTGTCCCAGGGAATGGATTGGGTTAAAGAAGGATTCCAAGTCACTTGTATTCTTCAGCGGCGTCTCTCTAAAGCCTGGGCCATCTTTGACCTGTCAACAAAGTTCACAGCATCAATCCCCTCATCTCTACTTGTGTTGAGGTTACCTAACTTTTAGAATGCAACTCTTAGCATACAACATCTGTTTGTATCCCGAGATCCTACTGAAGATAGTTACAGGCCCGTTCCATCCGGAAAAAAAAAGTTGAAGAAGAAAGCCACTCTGAAATGCCTTACTTCAAGAAATGTTAGGGATTAATGTCGTGGGGTGGGGGGGGGGGGGGGGGGATAGGATGGGGAACCAAAAGGAGGAACTTGTACCAACAACTCAGAGAAGGGAGCTGGAAAATAGAGTTAGAAAGGTGGGGAGGACATGAGGAGAGGTGCATGCCATAGGAAAAGATAGAACGATTTGAGCGTGAGTTGGTTGAGGGCCTATGCTCCATTGGGGGACTTGAAAGGCAGAAGAAGAAACCACCAAGAAATGAACAGGATTATATTATTATAAACATGTTCAGCCAATGGAAGACAGAGAAAGATGGCGGGTTTTGTGTGCGAGTACTTCCATCAATACACCTTCACGACCCTAACGGTTTAACCACATCACCTACCAAGTGCCGATTGATACATATTATAAAGGTTTTGCCCTATATGCCCTATATGCTCAATAGCCTAAAGACTTAAAAGGTCCTTAACGTTAATCTTTATATTCATATGGCTATACAGTTGAACCTCCAGGTCGACCCAGCCTTAAGTGGGTATCAGGTGCAGTCCCGGGAAGTAAAGGCGGCCGGCGTGATGCTGACCATATCACCCATCAAGTGGCGACTGGTCTATAAAATATAGGTCTAGCCCTATATGCCCTATATGCCCTATACGCCTAAAGGCTTGGAAAAGGAACCTTTACTTGTGCAATGTCTGTGGTTTAGTGTCTGCGAACATGCTTTGAATTGCAAGGATGCCGGGTTCGATTCCAGCTAAGGGCCTTGCGCTGGTTTCGACAGTGGTATTGAGAAGCTGACCACCTAGACAGAAATATCAAACTTCTAGATGTAAATTTGCGTAGAAAAACAACAACAGTAAAACAAATGCTGGTATTGGTTCTGCAACGTCGTGTAAAGGATACATAACTAACTTATACGGTTGAATGGGGTTTTCTGGGATTTGTATTTGATTCTCATCAGTCATACCGGCACTTAATCATCTCACTGATTGATTAGGGATCGGGTTTTCTCACTGATTGATTAGGGATCGTGTTTTCTCCCTGTCTCGAAGAGTCAGCTTGTGAAACTGGAGCGCATACCGAATGAAGCTATGCGGGTGATCCTGGGATGTACAAGAGACACTCCGATTGTGTGCAAGTGATAGATCCATCCTTGCATTGCCGACTATTGCAGATAGGCTAAAGGTGCTGCAAGGTGTCATACATAAGAGTAGATGCAGATAAAGAGCACCCTCTTTATAAAGCTTTCGATGCAGTTAAGCGTCAGAGGCTGAAAAGGGCATAATTATTGATGGCTCAGGTGATAGACACAATCAGAAAAGTATGCATGCTGAAGAACATTAAACGAGTGGATCAAAGTACAAAAGGAAAAGTCTGACCTATGTAGGTTTATGATCACATTAGGCCGGGAGAGTGGCCAGAGGGAGCTACTGAGTGGTAGTCCAACAGTTGATTCATGACAATTCTCGTTCTGATTATCTACACAGATGGTTCTGTACTGAGAGAAAAGAGAAGTGCCTAGAGTTTTCCTAACGAAAGCCAATGGAAAATCTTTAGTGCAGGACAGCCTGGCAATGATACCACAAAATCTAGCATGAGAATGGAGGTGGAGGTGGTCACTGCAACTTGCCGGTGGCTAGAGAACAAGATACATACACATGTCGTAATTGTAAAGGACTCTGAAAGCATCCTGAAAAAAAATGAACACATGACTGCTTCGAGCAGGGTGGCAAGCTTCATTTGCATGGTCACGTATAGTGAGCATACTTTGGATCTTTTCTCCAAGTCATGTTGGCGTGGTGTGGAATGAACAGGTCAGAACCCTTTGGGAACAAGTAAGAAGTCAGAAAAGAAACTACATTATTATGGGCTGGAGAGACTGATGCACCTGGGTGTGTCCAGAGGCATTGGCCAGCACACTACACTCAGAGGAAAGGCAAGAAAGACATACAACCAGACTACGACTGGCACCATTAGTATTGGAACTCTGCGCTGGCTGCTGAGGATGGGTACGGAGTTCATATGGGAATGTCCCAAGTGCTGTGACGTCAATTCTTAACTCAACTCAACTCATCCTTAAGATGTTAATCCTACAGACTGGAACCAAAGAGGAGATACACTTATAGAGGTATACAAGAAAGTAAATGTCTCCATATCAGAACTCTGCGAAAAGCAACAGGTGAAAAGCAACATCAACTGACCCCTTACCTGAAGTGGCTTCTGGTAGTGATAGTCATCATCGTCAGTATTATCGCTGCCTTCATCGCTGTCCTCATAGTCAGACAACTGGCCGTCGTCGATGTTGCCGAGCTTCCTCTGTCGTCGCCGCATCATCAGATACCTGCAGGAGTCAACACAGTAAGATGCTAGTTGGTTGCTTGCTTGCTTGGTTGGTTAGCTAGCTAGCTAGAAGAACCATTCAGTCTATAAGTTCTCTGACACACACCTCAATAAATCCCGCACCGTGTAGCGGCTAACAACCCCAGTCCTGCGTTAGTTTCTTATTCTTCTGTGGCTTTTCGCATAGCGCTCTTGTCTGGCCACATCCGTTTTAACATGTTTTTTGTGCAGTCTGATTTTTGTTGCAGAGTCACAGGCATCACTTGGTTCTCGCAAACGTCTCACTTTATTCAGGATATCAGCATGGTAAATGGCACGTCCGCCAACCATGGCAGCTTTACCTGCAAGCCTATCATCTTGTTCATTTCCTTACACACCTGCCTAAAATGAATATAAAACAGATGTGTGTCAGCTTGACCAACTCAGAGACTGCAATCACTGTCGTTGAACCCAGCCCTTCTCTGTCGTTGAACCCAGCCCTTCTCTGTCGTTGAACCCAGCCCTTCTCTTTCGTTGAACCCAGCCCTTCTCTGTCGTTGAACCCAGCCTATCTCTGTCGTTGAACCCAGCCCTTCTCTGTGGTTGAACCCAGCCCTTCTCTGTCATTGAACCCAGCCCTTCTCTGTCGTCGAACCCAGCCCTTCTCTGTCGTTGAACCCAGCCCTTCTCTGTCGTTGAACCCAGCCCTTCTCTGTCATCGAACCCAGCCCTTCTCTGTCGTCGAACCCAGCTCTTCTCTGTCTTCCTGAGCATATTCTTTGAGTGAAATGGAAAACATTGGCGGGTAAAGGTTTGAGTCAGCTGGATGACAGGCAGACATTTGTTGACAGTCAGACATTTATTGACAGACAGACAGTTGCTAACATTTACATATGTGTTGATAGATGAATGCAAATTTGTTGACAGACAGATATTGACGAACATATATTTGTTGAAAGACCGACATGTATTTGTTCACAGGCAGATTGAAAACACCAGTTCTGTGTTGCTTTACTATTTATCTTTTGCTGTCTGTATAGTGTTCATGTTTTGCGACACCTCTTGTACCTGAAGTTCTTGTAGTCTTTTGAGTGTTGCCGGCTCACTGTCGTCTCCTGAATCATCTTCTCGTCCCTTGAGAGCATTGAGAATGTCGGCCTGGTCAATTGTTTTCCTGCACCTACCGTGGCCCTGCCAGTTGTTTCCAATGTTTCTTAGGAGGATTCATTATTGCCTTCTGTTGACCAGTTATACCCACACACACACTTGCTGTCACTGTCACTGTCACTGCTGTCTATTGTTACCACTTTACAGGGCGGTGTAGATAGGAGTGGGCGCGGGAGGGGGGGTCAGGCGCAGGGCCGCGAGCCAAAAGACTTAGGACCGCATGGTTAGTGTTGTCGCCACGGTCTGTGCAGGTCAGGATGTTTGGTCAAACAAACGTTAGCCTTCCCACACAAAGTAGGTCACGCTCCATAGATAACTTTGTTGGACTGGTCTGCCGTGTCGCTCTGTTGTTTGCTATCTGTGTTGTCTTGGATTTACTCTTTTTACTCTGAGACAGAGAATGCTAGTGACAAAGGTTTCACCACTCTCTAAAGAGGCTTTATGTTTGACCCAGTTTGTCGATATTTTTTGGAGTGTTAAAAGCGGTGGCATGGTGAAACGTACAACATGCGATATCAACGGCATTGCGGAACACCCCCGTGTCGTTGTGCCAACGACGATTGGCTCAAGGCCGACCAATCAGAAGTGAGCTAAGCTAAAGGTCGACCAATCAGAAGTGAGCTAGTGTGTATATGGGCGGTCTGCGGGGAAGACTAATGTTACTATTACTGAATGTTAAAATTTCATACGACATACGATTTTGAATTAGATGTATCCAGTGCGACTTATCGCATGGGCTCGCTGGGCATTTGCTTTAAGGTCGAACTAATACCCCAGTCCCATGCTAATCTGGGTCTGTCTAGTGACCTGCCATAAATACAAATTTTATTTCTGTGAGTGGATGTCGTAGAGGGCAGGAGCATGCTGGTGTTTAAGCGATCCATAATGTTGTAGAACGGCTCTATGCCTACACATGATACAGAGAGGAGAGAAGGAAGACGAAGAGGAAGTACATCAGCAGCAGCAGCAGAAGAAGAAGAAGAAGAAGAAGAAGAAGAAGAAGAAGAAGAAGAAGAAGAAGAAGAAGAAGAACAAGAACAAGAACAAGAAGAAGAAGAAAGAAGAAAAAGAAAAAAAAGATAAAGAAGTTTAAAGGGGAGTGAACTCAATCCTTATCATAACAACACAGAATTGTCTACCTTAAAACAAAAAACCCCAGCAGGCAGAATAAGATGAGAAGAACGATGGCGAAAATGATGATTATCGTCAACCACCAGCTGTAGTCATCATCGTCCTTTTCTTCTGTCTGAAAAAAGAAGACAGTGTAAAGGGCTCTTTTTTCAGGCTTAAGACATTTTGGGCATATAGGGATAGAGCTATACTTTATAGACCAATCGGTCGCCTTTACTTTCCATAACTTTACCTGGTACCTACCTAAAGCAAAGTCATTTTCTAAAAAAAATTTTACCCACGACAATCGTATCAGCGGGTAAGTATTCAGCTGCTACATCAAGGCGGCTTTATATTTATAGTGTCAGTCAGTCAGTCAGTCAGTCAATCAGTCAGTCAGTCAATCAGTCAGTCAGTCAGTCAGTCAATCAGTCAGTCAGTCAATCAGTCAGTCAGTCAGTCAGTCAGTCAGTCAGTAGCATGTCCTTTGCAGAACCTTGCTCCCATAACAACTTTCCGGAAAACTTCTCGATCACAAGCAAGATGTCCCGCATCCGACACACCCATCTGGAGATCATCCGCCACATCCTACACCCATCTGGAGATCATCCGCCACATCCTACACCCATCTGGAGATCATCCACCACATTCTGCACCCATCTTCTCTTTAGCCTTCCTCTTCCTTTCTTCCCAGGCATATACCCCCTCCATTATTGTTCTCTCTAAACTTTCGTGACGTTTCAAGTGACCAGAATATTTAAACTTTCTGTGTTTTATCGTCTTTAATAGCCAAACTTCTTCACAATTCAGTTTTTGAAGTATGGATGCATTTGTTCATTTCTTTAACCATGATATTCTTTGAACCCGTCTTTGAATACATTCGTATTCAAGGGCATTTATGCGCTGTTCAGCTTGTTTAGTATGTATCCAGGTCTCACTGGTGTATGTTGGAATGGAAAAGATGCACGCTCTTAGAAATCTTTTTTTTTGTTTGTTTTGTAGTTCTGCCTGTTAGAAAAACAAATTCTTGGTAGATAAATACGTGCATAAGGATGCAGGAAACAGGAAAATGGATGAGAGATTGACACGGGGACAGCTGGTGATTTATACTAGAGGTATTTAATTGGCGACCTGTGGGTCCAGATCGAAACAGCAGAGGCTTCCCGGATCAACGCCAGTTTGACTGTCTGTGGGAGCTAGGTAGGGGTTAGGAGACATGGGCCCATGACGATCCCTGTTTTCAACATTTGGTTCTTGGATAAACGTAGTTAAATAGCCCTGATTTATATCTAGTGGGGGGGGGGGGGGGGATACATAACAGGTAATGAAGACGAATTATTAGGAAGTGAGAGGAAAAGAAGGTGGAGCAATCTAGGTGGTGTGGAGAAGGAGGAAAGAGTGGAGAAGACGACAATAGAAATAAAAAAGAAGAAATCTAAGAAAAAAGAATTAGAAGCAGAACAAGAAGATGATGATGATGATGATGACGATAATGATGATGATGAAACAGAAGAAGAAGACAACAAAGAAGAAGAAGAAGAAGAAGAAAAAAAAGAAGAAGAAGAAGAAGAAGAAGAAGAAGAAGAAGAAGAAGAAGAAGAAAAAAAAAAAAGAAGAAGAAGAAGAAGAAGAAGAAGAAGAAGAAGAAGAAGAAGAAGAAGAAGAAGAAGAAGAAGAAGAAGAAGAAGAAAAAGAAGAAGAAGAAGAAGAAGAAGAAGAAGAAGAAGAAGAAGAAGAAGAAGAAGAAGAAGAAGAAGAAGAAAAATACAACTGAAAGATCACGGCTGAAGAGAAGAGAAGGGAGTCACGACATCTAAGGAAATACGGGCTCACCGGTTTGTCCTTGGTGTAGACGGTTGTCTTGGAGTAGGCCAATGAGTGCTTGGTGACGTCAACAACCGTACTCTTGACCACATACACTACGGCGTACTCCGTGTCCGGTTTCAGGGGCAGGTTTCGTCTGCCGTGGTACATTCTGTCATCGCCGATTGTTACAGAGCTGTTGGCACGGACAAGGTTGTTGCTATAGAGACAGGCTAACTGTGAAACTGCGAAGGTTTGAAGCTTCCTCCTTCTCTACCATTTTTCTTCCTTCTTCTTCCTTCTACTTTCTTTCTTTCTTTCTTTTTTCTTTCTTTCTTTCTTTCTTTTTCTTTCTTTCTTTCTTCTTTCTTCTTCTTCTTCTTCTTCTTCTTCTTCTTCTTCTTCTTCTTCTTCTTCTTCTTCGCGTTTATCTGCTATAAATTGTAAAATGTTCTGATTGTTCGTCCATGATTTAACTTTGGTCTTGTTCCAGAAATTGATTTTTTTCACGTATCTTCGTTTTAGAGACCTCTCTTATTTGTGTGCAGGCTGTTGGTACATCGCCTCTGAGTCATATGCACTTTGACTTAAAGGAAACACACCTAATTGGTAGCTTTCTACTTCCCGCCTTTCAAGGAGCAGTAGCTCCCCCCCCCCCCTCCCTCCCCAAATTAGACATCGTAATTACCACTAGGAGGTTAAAATTAAAAGTTTATTATTATTGCTAAACTCAAGAAGACGTTACTCTATCACTAGTACTAACGCCGGAAACAACTGACACAGAACTGTCACTTACGTCGATTCCTTCACTTCAGACGCCGGCAGCTCAAGCCACATAACCCCAGGTGGGTTACCCACAGCTCGTCTGGTCCTCCCTGCCACATGATGATGAATAAATCCAGAACTCATAGCTGCAAAACCACTTTCAGCTGCCCGGATGCGAGTTTTAGACGCGTCTTCCATTTCCTCGGAACCTCCTTTCCGTCCATGTGTCGTCACGTAATCTTTAAGCACTCTGAGATTCAGCTCAGACTGAAGATGATTTGTCTCGTTTTGTAGAAACGTTTCGTTAACCCGGCCTTTGGCGAGTGGTCCATTACCACGGGATTTGAAGTTTGGGTAGTCTCTTTTTCTGTAGCTGGCATCACCTCCGCTGACGTTCACATCCGGGTTATTAAATGGCGGTGCACTGTCTTGAAGAGGGTTGTTTTGTAAGTTAGAACGGTATCGCCTGAACCATTGGTGAATCCAGGCTTGGATCTGTGTGGAGTTGTGTCCTTGGATGTTGGCCGAGTCTGGCATGGGGATGAAGATAAGAGTGTGGCTGTTAGATGGTTGGTCAGTTTCTGAATGTTGACGGGTTGCTGTCCTTGGCCGCTTGGATCTGTCGCCGACAGACCGCTTGAAGAGAACCAAAAGGGAAAATGGGTAAAGACGGTATATGATGATATGAATTAGTTCATGAAACACGGACTGTTGAATGATTAGTGAAAACATCTGTGGAGTAAGGACATCGTTTGTAGTGAATTACAGATGGGTAGAACTTTTGGAGGCGGCCTCTACTAGGATATAACGATCTGTACAAACGGGACATGAATGATACAGGTATTGAGATGGATACGTGGCAATAAAATTTCATGACCGTGTTGCTTGTAGTAGTGATAAAAACAGGAAAAGAATGACACTGAAGAGTGAAATGATTGCAGAAAGTATGAGAGATGAGTGTATGAGAAGAAAAAGACTAAACACAAATGTTGACAACAACAACGGTCCTGAAATCCTATGCTATCACTGTAGAAGACTTTTCTTAACGCGGGCGGGTCTTGCTAGTCACACTCGCCATCGCCATGGGCTGTGAGTCTCATGCCTCCCCATAGCGCAGTATAACACTATCGCCTGGAAAGACGGACAGGTGCCAACATATTTAGAAGCGGTGGAGATGTGGTTTTGAAGATGAATAATGTTAATAGTCTGTAGAAAACGTGAACAATTGTAATGAAGATGTCTTGAACAAAGCTGACACAAAGAGAAGGGATTGCATGAGAAGGAGAAAACTGAAGTACATCGTGAGAGGTGCGACCGTTGGCGGTGACAAGAGGCAGAGGGAGACGGAACCAGAAGAATTTGGACAGTTCTAAAATATGGCATGGAAGATCCTCAGTGTCAGAACCGACTGGAAATACACGAGACAGTAGGTTGTATATAGACATGACTACCAACGCCAAACGACAAGGACTAGAAGAAGAAGATATAGTTCCTTATCTCCTCAATATCTTGAACAAGATGAGTCTATTGTCAAGTCTTGTTAGATTCTTTTGTGTACTGTTTGTCTTTGTTGGTGATTTTATTGTATCGATTCCGTTGTTGGGGTTGATGATGATGTTTGTGTTCTTGATATGATTCTATTGTTGTCGTTTTTATTACTGTTGTTATATCGCCAATCTAGTATATTCAGACTAAGGACTGGGCACAACAGACTTCGTCAACTTATGTTCAACCTTTTCGGTGTAAAAAACACGGAGACGTGCAACTTGGCACCTGAAAATGCCGAGCATGTGCTCCAGCACTGTCAACTGTATGCTGACAACAGAGACGCAATCTGGCCTGTTCCGACAATGAGAACAAAACTGAATGGTACACCAGAGGATATGGACTGCGCGATAGATTTCATAAAGGCTACCGGCCTGATATACAGTTTTTTAACAGAAGGATCTAAGAAGAAGAACGAACGAACGAACGAACGAACTTTATTTTCAGAGGGATAAAAATTGGCCACCCAGGCCGGTCCAACATTCTGCCTTTCATGCATTTCATGCACACATTCTTTCATTCAAATATTATTTCAGTCGTACATTTTTTCATTCATACACCATCTCCTTCATACATCATTTCATTCATACATCATTTAATTCATACATCATCTCACTCATACATTATTTCATTCCTACATCATTTCAGTAATTGATCATTTAATTAATTCATCATTTAATTCATACATCAAGTAATAGTTAAAACACCTGCCAGGCAGACACATCGCGTCTACGACCTCAGTTAATTCAGAACTTTTTTCTCGGGGTTGTGGATATTCGGAGCTCTAATTTAAAACTTGTTCTTTTTTCTGCATTTACCGGCTGTAAACTCCGATGGAACGTTCTGGGTGTTCGTCCACTTCCAGACTTAAGTGTTGTTCTAGAACATAAGTCTTGCGTGCACATCGGTTTTAAACATCCTTTTCGTATGTAGACTCTTGGTTGCTTGTCTCTCAGGCAGATGTACTCTAACTTTGCCAGATGCCTCAACTAGTAGACTCCTACGACATGGTTGTTAATAAGGCAGAAGGTCTATTCTTGTTTTCTCTACAATGAGAGCTGGAACCCACACGGAAAATATTGTAAAACTCAAATTAAAAAAAAAATTTACTTTTCCAACTGCGTGGATATCCGGGCCATTTTTCCGTAGGCTGTCCTCCTGAGCGGTGTTTCTGATAGACGAAGCCGGACTTATGGTTGGTCCGGCAGGGTTATAGGGTTGTGCACTAGCCAAAGGTGCTTCTCTGTCTTGTAGCTGTGAAATCATATCAGATCTAACCATGTAAAAATCAAACTTCATTAATTCAAATCAATCTGAATCAAATCAACCCCAAATCAAATCGAATGAAACCTTATAAAATAAAATAAATCATAAAAAAAATTATATCACACCTAACCAAATCAATTAAGTGCTTAACAAATTTAGTCAGACCTAATCAATCAAGTCAGACATAACTAATCAAGTCAGACCTAACCAATCAAGTCAGACATAACTAATCAAGTCAGACCTAACCAATCAAGTCAGACATAGGCAATCAATTAGGTCCTAACCCATCAAGTCAGACATAACCAATCAAGTCAGACATAAGCAATCAAGTAAGTCCTAACCCATCAAGTCAGACATAACCAATCAAGTCGGACCTAACGAATCAAGTCAGACATAACCAATCAAGTAAGTCCTATCCCATCAAGACCTAACGAATCAAGTAAGACATAACCAATCAAGTAAGTCCTATTCCATCAAGTCAGACATAATCAATCAAGTCAGACATAACTAATCAAGTCAGACCTAACCAATCAAGTATTCATAACTAATCAAGTCAGACCTAACCAATCAAGTCAGACCTAACCAATCAAGTCAGACCTAACCAATCAAGTCAGACCTAACCAATCTTCTTCTTCTTCACGTTCACCAGCTGTACACTCTGGCGGAAAGTTCTGGTTACTCGTCCACTACTGAACTGCAGTCCTGCTCCAGAACCTGAGTGTTGCATGTGCATCAGTTTTACAGATCTCATTCGTTTGAATACAGACTGTTGGTTCCTTGCCTCTCAGGCAGATGCACTCCGACTTCAAAGGAAGCGCCCCAATTAGTCGACTCTTACAACATGCTTTTGGGGAGGCAGTGGGTCTATTCTTGTTTTCCCCACAATGGGGCCCCGGAACCCACACGGGGGAGACTTAACCAATCAAGTCAGACCTAACTAATCAAGTCAGACCTAACTAATCAAGTCAGACCTAACTAATCAAGTCAGACCTAACTAATCAAGTCAGACCTAACTAATCAAGTCAGACATAACGAAATCAGTCAGAACTAGCAACATCAAGTCAGCAATAACCAATCAAGTCACACCTCTTCTCACAGTCAAGCTCAGACCTAACCAATCAAGTCAGACCTAACCAATCTAGTCACACCTAACCAATCAAGTCAGACCTAACCAATCAAGTAAGACCTAATCAATCAAGTCAGACCTAACCAATCAAGTCAGACATAACCAAATCAGATCACATCTAATCAAATTAAATCAGATCACATCTAATCAAATCAAATAAATCATTACGAAATCAGATCAGAACTAGCAACTTCAAACCAGCAATATCAAATCAGATCAGATCATCTTCTCACAGTCTATGCTCTGTAGCGTGTGTAGTCATGTCAACCCACAACCTTCTGTCTCGTGTACATTCCACCAGTTCCGACACAGATCATCTTCTCACAGTCTATGCTCTGTAGCGTAGGTAGTCATGTCAACCCACAACCTTCTGTCTCGTGTACATTCTACCAGTTCCGACACAGATCATCTTCTCACAGTCTATGCTCTGTAGCGTAGGTAGTCATGTCAACCCACAACCTTCTGTCTCCTGTACATTCTACCAGTTCCGACACAGATATCTTCTCACAGTCTATGCTCTGTAGCGTAGGTAGTCATGTCAACCCACAACCTTCTGTCTCGTGTACATTCCACCAGTTCCGACACAGATCATCTTCTCACAGTCTATGCTCTGTAGCGTAGGTAGTCATGTCGACCCACAACCTTCTGTCTCCTGTACATTCCACCAGTTCCGACACAGATGATCTTCTCACAGTCTATGCTCTGTAGCGTAGGTAGTCATGTCAACCCACAACCTTCTGTCTCCTGTACATTCTACCAGTTCCGACACAGATGATCTTCCATGCCATGATGTCAAACTGGCCAGCATCTTCTCTCTTCGTATAACTCTTGCCCGTTTCCAACTTTAACACCGTCATGATGTAGGCAAATTGTTTTTTTCTATGTCATGATAACAGAATATAGATTGTCTCCTTCCTATGTGGGCAATATTTCTCTTCGTATGTCAAATTCTTTCAAGGCATCTTTATAACTTCGTTTTTGTTTTAATATCAATCTTCCGGACGTCTGGTCCAGTTAGGAGGTCTAGGTATGATAGAACTGTTTAGCTGCGAAGTTATTTTTGTCCCTGACAGCGCTTTGCTAATGCAGTTTCCACATTTGGGCGGAAGTCCACGGTTTCGTTGCTAAAGGTACTGAGTTAAGTGCTTGGTACGACACTGTGAGCTGCGGTTTTTTTTTTCCAGGTGGAATATCTTTCATTTGAGCATCGGTTCAGTGGTGGTATTCAATATGACAGGTGTGTTAAAGTTAGTTTGTTCTTTCTCTCTCTCTCTCTCTCTCTCTCTCTCTCTCTCTCTCTCTCTCTCTCTCTCTCTGCCAGTATTTCTCCTCGCTCTCTCTGACAGTATAGGTCCTCTCTCTCTCTCTCTCTGCCAGTATTTCTCCTCGCTCTCTCTGCCAGTATATGTCCTCTCTCTCTCTCTCTCTCTCTCTCTCTCTCTCTCTCTCTGCCAGTATGTGTCCTCTCTCTATGCCAGTATATATATATCCACGCCCCCACCTCCTCATATTTACGAAACTCACTTCTGGGTCATTGGCCGGGTCCAGGTCATGACCTTCATGTTTGCTATGGTTATGATGTAGCTCCAGTAATCGAATCTCATATGACGTGATAGGGCCGTATTCGGAATGGACCGGATGTATCTCCACGGTGATGGTTGAGCTCGTCACCTGGTGCGGAGTGACAGATATTTGGATAGAAACATACTGGGGGTTAGAAAATGGAGAGTTCCATGGAAACAGACTTGTAGATCGAAAACAAAGAGATTTGAATAGAAGCAGATTAGGAGCTAGAGAATAGAGAAACTAAACAGTAATATATTCGGACATGGAGTAGACAGATTTGAAAAGAAACAGATTAGGAGTTGGAGAATACAGAGATTTCAAAATAAATAGATTTGGACTTGAACAATTCAGAGAACGAACGAACGAACGAACGAACGAACAAACTTTATTTTCAAAGGGTTAAGAATTGGGCACGCAGGCCCGTCTAACATTCTGCCCTTCCACTCTGCTCCTTTCATACAATGTTTCATTTTTACCTCATTTCATAGTTACTAATAATAATAGTAATTGATAATAATAATAATAATAATAAAAAGAGGAATGAACAATTAAAAATTTGAGAAATATAGAAAAGAAACAAAAGAACAAAAAAGAGAAGAAGGAAAAAAAATTACAATATCTAAGTCTTAATTACAAATGCTGGAATGTGCTCTAATTTATACTGACATTACTTGAACGTTTGAAAGAGTATAATAATAAGCCTATTCAAAAAATGTAAGTCTTACAGGTTGCATAATATAAACATCATCAAAACCAATTAAATAATAGTTACAAATATTGGAATGCATTCGACTGACATCTTCAGTTTTAACAATAATAAGCTTCAGTTTTCAACCTTTACATCTTCAGTTTTAACAATAATAAGCTTCAGTTTTCAACCTTCACATCTTCAGTTTTAACAATAATAAGCTTCAGTTTTCAACCTTCACATCTTCAGTTTTAACAATAATAAGCTTCAGTTTTCAACCTTCACATCTTCAGTTTTAACAATAATAAGCTTCAGTTTTCAACCTTCACATCTTCAGTTTTAACAATAATAAGCTTCAGTTTTCAACCTTTACATCTTCAGTTTTAACAATAATAAGCTTCAGTTTTCAACCTTTACATCTTCAGTTTTAACAATAATAAGCTTCAGTTTTCAACCTTTACATCTTCAGTTTTAACAATAATAAGCTTCAGTTTTCAACCTTTACATCTTCAGTTTTAACAATAATAAGCTTCAGTTTTTCAACCTTTACATCTTCAGTTTTAACAATAATAAGCTTCAGTTTTCAACCTTTACATCTTCAGTTTTAACAATAATAAGCTTCAGTTTTCAACCTTTACATCTTCAGTTTTAACAATAATGAGCTTCAGTTTTCAACCTTTACATCTTCAGTTTTAACAATAATAAGCTTCAGTTTTCAACCCCCACCAAGAGATGTAAATAGAGACAGACTAACAAAAACATATATTTGAATAGAAACAAACTAACTTTACGTTAGCTACACTGTATGCCCGGCTCGCTAGCGTAGCTGGCTAAAGCTGAGTTCGCGGCGACCGGGTGACGAACTCCTTGTTGTCCGGATTTACGCCCGGGGGTAGGCAGAAAAGCCACATTTTTCCCCAGATTTTTTCGGTATCTATCAATCAAGGCCGAAAGGTTGTGATATCCATAGTACCGAGCCAAAAGGAAAGACTGGAATAGACAGAGAATAAAGAGATATGAACAGCAACAGACTGGGAGTTATAGAACAGAAACACTTTAACGGAAACAGTCTGATTCGAGAACTGAGGTACAACTGAAAACAGTCTAAACAATCTCGGAATTAGAGAGTAGATTCGAATGAACGAACTTTCGAGACTAGCGATGTTTTAACATTGAAGAAGTTTCCCAACTTTCCGCCTCTGCAGTTGCACGAAAGCGAACTAGAAGAAAACGGAAGGCAGGTGTGTTCAAACTGATCTGCTAGGGATGTCCCATTGTTAACTAGCTCAATATATTTGTGGCATGTCCCGTTTTCAGCTAATAGCGTTATCACTTTCTTGTTTTCAGTTTAAAAAAAATATTAGTTAGATGTCTCGTTTTCAGAAAAAAATATTAGATACATTTTCATTTAGCCAAAAGTATTTGTGGGATGTCCCCTCTCAGCGACGAATTTTTTTTTGGGGGGGGGGGGGGGGGGGGGGGGGGGGGGGGGGGGGGGAAGGGAGATTTCCTGTTTTCAGCTACAATTATAAGTGGGGTTCATGTTTTTAGCTAAAAATATTAGTGGGATGTTCCGTTTTCAGTTAAAAAAATATAAGCGCTTCCCGT